AATATTATTTAAATATATATAATAACTTAAATATTATTAAAAAATTTATTTTTTTAATATAAAATATAAAAAACATATCCCTTTTATAATTAATATTTATATAATAAAAATAATTAACGCTTTAACTACTTATAACCGGTGTGGCAGTTACGCCATACCCACGGCTGTAAGGCCCGTGCACCGTGCGACATTAGTTAAATTTAAAATCTTTAAAATTTTAAACATTATAAGATTATTTTATAATATTTATAATTTAAGTTTTTATAAAATAATTAATAAAGGATTTATTATTTTAACTGTTTAAAATAAGCAAATAAGAAAAAATATTATAAGATAAGTTAATTATAATTTTTAAAATAAAAGGTATAATGTAATATTACATTAAAGGCTTTTAAGCTATTGGTAAAGTAGAGTTATTAAATGTTAAAGATTATTATAAATAAAAAGTTAAAATTATTTTAATAAAAAAACGAAATTTTTTTAATTTATAAAAGTAAGAAATAAATTAAATTATTTTATTTACATTATCGTTATTATAATTTTATTACGTGATTTTATTAATATTTAAAATATTAAAAAGGTTATATTATAAGGTTAATAATTAAAAACTTTAATAGCTTTAATAGTTTAAGTAGTGTAAAAAAAAATTTTAAGGCTTAAGATTTGATTTTCACTTATATTATTTTATTTTTTCTTTTTTTAAGTTTTAATCTTTATTTTATAAATTAAATTAAATTTCGTAATTTTATTAAAATTTAAAAAGAAATTATAAATTAATATTAATATATTAAATAACTTTAATCTTAATTATATAATTATATTTTTAATATAAATATTATTTATAATTATATACATTTATTTTACATAATATCATTTACTTTTAATATAAGTTATTCTTTTTTTTCATCATTATTTTCATTTTAAAAATCCTTGATATTAAGTTTAATAAAGCTTGATTTAAAGTTAAAACATTTAAGTTTTATTTAATATCTTTAACTATAATAAATATAATAATTTTATATTTATTTTTATAATTTTAACTTTATCTTTAATTATACCTTTTAAACATTTAATAATATCATTTTATATTTATATATAATTAATTAAAGGTTTTAATCTTATATAAAAACTTTTAAAATAATTTTTTATTATTAACTTTATTTATATAAATTTATAATTTAATTTTTAAACTTATAAAATAACATTATATTAATATTTTAAAATTGTAATTATTATTTTTAATTTTTAATTATATAATAATAATTAAAGTTTTTATAAACCTTTAATTATTTTTTATATTATTTAAAAAAAAAGTTAATTATTTAATATTAATATTATTAACAATTAATTTTTTAATAAAGTTTTTATTTTTAATTAAAATTTAAATAAATTAAATAATTTTTTATAATTTTAAATTTAATATATTAAAAAAAACTTAAATTAAATTTTAAATTCCTTATATATATTAACGTTATTAAAATTTATCCATTTTTAAAATTAATAATTTTAAATAAATAATATAAACGTTTTATTTTATACATTTTAATCGTTAAAATATTTAAATTTAAAACTTAATAATAATATAATAAAATTTATAATAAAATAATAAATAAATAATAATTTATTTACAATTTATTTTAATGCGTATATATTATATTATATAATATTAATTAAAATTTTATCTTTAAAAGTTATATAATTTAAATATATAAAATTTTTAATTATTATATAATTAATATATATTAAATAAACATTATATAAGGTTTGATTTATTATATTTTTAATAATTTAATTAATTAAAGTAAAATCGAAAAAACGCGTATTATACCGTTATTTTACATGGGACTAGGGATTTTCAGGTCACCTGACATGGCTAACTAATCTGACATGTCATAAATCATTGCTATAAGCATTTTTAAAGACCCCCTCCCCCCGGGCGCTAAGGCACTTGCCCATGTACTAGGTACCTATTGAAGGTACCTTAGGTACCTTTGCTCTTGGATTCAACTTAAAGCTTCAATTGGTTTTACGGAAAGCAACACATCTCTCCAATGTATACGATTGCCCACATTGCCCACGATGAAGCCGATATGCACCTCACAGACTGGTCTCGCACTCAAAACTCTTATATCGCGCCAATGTCTATATTCTAGCCGCCGATGTTTTAACCCGCAACAATGCCGCACATTCCTACGGCCTCAGCGGCCAATCCACCGAGCGGTCGAGAACCTCAATGTCAGTCGTATGCGCACAGAATCCCATAACTACTACGTTCGGCGGCGAACCTTCCTTCTATGCGGCGCAGTCTCGGGTTTAGTTGGTATCTGTTACACCTCATATCTTCTCTACATAAGGCTTCAGAAGCCGACAAAGTTCGACAGCGGGTTACCGGATAAGCTCGACCCTTTTAGCACCGAAGCTGGTTCGAAGCGCAAAACGGTTATCCACGACAGAGATGGAAAAGAGCTTGTGCCTACGGGAAATACTACTGTCCCGACATTTCCACGACTCCTTGACATTGCGCTTGGTGCTATAGAAGGGCAGGAGATGGTCAACGGGGTAGAGTACACATTGGTCGGCCTGGGCGTGAGGACAGTCAGCTTCTTAGGCATTCAAGTGTATATGGTTGGATATTACATCGCCACACAGGATATCGCTGCGCTACAGTCGCGCCTGGTCAAGGAGATCAATCCTATCGCGACGACACTCGTGCCGAATGAAAAGGACGAATTGCGCAAGGCGCTGTTAGATTCGAAGCGGGGAGAAAAGCTGTGGAACGACATACTGCAGGACGTACGACCACGCTCGCTATTCAGGGTTGTGCCGGTAAGAGATACCGACTTTCATCACTTAAGGGATGGATTCGTGCGAGCGATTTCGGCGAGGTCGCAAGGTAATAGCCGTGATTTTGGTGATGAAAGTTTCGTCGTGGCTATGAAGGACTTCCGAGGTTTATTCAACCGAGGCAAGGTGCCAAAGGGGCGGGAAATGTTGCTGGTTCGCGACACTGCTGGGCAGTTGACGATCACTTTCGACGATGGTAAGGCCGGCATGGGAACAATTGGACGCGTTTCCGATGAACGAGTATCCCGATTGCTGTGGCTCAACTATCTAGCCGGCAGCAAAGTTGCATCTGAACCGGCGAGGAAGAATATTGTCGAGGGTATCATGGAGTTTGTGGAGAGACCAGTGGGCACGGTCGCCACACAGGTGGTATGACGCATATGCCGAAGTCACCCATAACTGGCGAACTGTACATTTGGGCGTTGAGCAGCCGTGCATTGGTGTATATTACCCAGCATTCCACTTGCTACTGTACCATCTAGCGATAGGATCAGGATCGTGTCAGTTTGCCCACCCTTACTACCCATCTACATTTCGGTAATGCAAGATGACCCCGGGTGATTCAAGTATGCTACTTGGCCGGGTATACTAAGGTAGGCTAAAGATCCGAATGTGACGACATCTTATTCACCTCCTCGATACGAGCTGCTTGGCCCTGTTTCATCATGACGAAGGGAACTCATCGTCTACCGACGCCGGTGGTTGTATGATAGACATGATAGATTCAGACACGAGCGAAAAACACCAGCTCACACCAGAGCTTAGACCTGATATCGAATACCATGAACCGATATGGCTGTATACTACTCATACATAAATTAAATGGTCACGTTGTACCGAGTGTAAATGCAACCACCTGTTGCTGAAACCAGGAAAAATTCAAAAAAGCTATTCGACTATGTCGTTCGAACGCATCTATTCCTTCTCTATTGTGCAATTTTCCAATGTCAAAAAACCACCTTAGACCACCTAGATATTCTCCGAAAGATTTTCCTCGAACTCTTAGCTGCCGAATCCCTAACGTGGCTGGCCTAGTCGAAGCGCTCGATGCCCATTTTATCCTGCGTTGCTAATCGACAGGATGTTGGATACGGCAAGTACCATTGCTGTAATCCTCGTCCCTATCGTGCTGATCGCCATCATCCTGGCTATGTGGTTTTGTCCCTTTCGGCACGTGAGCCACTCTCGTCCTGGCGCACCAGCTCCCAGCACTGCTACAGCGACTGTCGAAAGCATACCCCCCCCTTCTGAGACGCCTTCGTACGAGCTTGAAGCACATCGATCCTTTCGGCTCTCAAGAATTTCCGAGGAAGGATGCCACATGAATCATTCCGTGGTTCATAGGTGACGAAGTTTCTTATATACCCTTTTCCGACGCACATTTCAGCAGTCCTTTCCGTTCGGAAATTCCGTAAGCCCCTTGGCGTATGAGCGCAGAGGCTCGATTTACTTGTTCCACGCAATATCGGTTCCATTCTTTAAGCTATGGAACTTGTTTCTATGATTTTGGTTCGTGAAAAGTTTAACTAGCAGGAGAGGTACGAATTAACACTCACACTAATGGTTTTCCTAGACTCCCTTAAAGCTGCTCTAGAGTAATCGCAGCCCGCGAAGCACGAGAGAGCCCCAAAGCCGTCGATTCCCCACTGGTATGGAGCTGCACATCAATGTTTTTGAAAGTATTTCCCAACTTTGCATTCGAAAGTAGTACTTAAAATAATTTCTGGGTCGGCTTATACGCTGGACCAATATACGTTAATCCTAAGGAAAGAAACACACAGGGGTTCTTGTACGGTAATTTCATAGATCATTCGTATTTTTACTTGATTTAGGGTTTGATTCAAGGGTGTTGGTGTAAACTACCGAGGATAAACGATCCAGTTGAAGGTGGATGATGGAGCGAATCACAGCTGAAGTCCCTAATGATATACCCATTCGCGAAATAGAGGTATATATCAATATGATATTCCCGTGGCCTGCTTATTATGCGGTTTTACAATTAAGGGATATACTTTAGGGCTTGGAAAAGGGCCATGAAACCCCCTTATTAAACAGATATCCGTCCATAGGCAAATTAGGATAGGTACAGTAAAGCGACAATATTAATTATACCACTAAAACTTAAGCAAGCTCGTCACTCGTAAACAGAAGCTCTGTTTCATATAAACCGACCTATATTTAATCATAGAGCAGTACTCTAGCTAATAACAATGGCTATCTATAAGATGTCTGATTTACAAGTAAGTTTATCATCATTGCTTATTTATGTCCCGATCCACCCCGTCAGAAGGACATGTTTAGACGCATATTCTCGAATACCAAACATGACGAATCCTTTCTCTGTTCCTAGTCGTAAGACACCCGAGGACTTGTGGCGTCATCTTATAGCCCTTCATAACTTAGATCGGGAATTATTTAGTCACAAAGCGCCAACCTCGGTAAGCAGACTCTTCAGTTCGCCAGATTTAGCCTGCAAGTCTGAGTTGCCACCGATGTGTTTCTTTCCGATCCAGATGTTAGGGACAGTGCGCTGGCCCGAAATCTCCTGGATCGCATCTTGGATAGCAGGGCCATCGGGCACCTCGTCCAACTCTACCAACTTGTACTTGGCACCTAGGCTGTCGAGAAGGCGCTTCGAGGCGCTGCAGTAGGGGCAATACGATTTAGAGAACACCGCTACAGAGGGCATTTCTTGTCAGCTGGAGTAAATCGCGCAAGGGTCCGATATAGCAGTGACTGATTTATGTCAACGGAGCTAATCAGTAGGTAGTAAATACTTACCGACGGCATTCTCATCGATGATACTCTGAGCTTTGGTCTTAGCTTCGGCCATGGCTTGCGGCGATATAGATGCAGAGAAAAGTCGGCGGATAAGAAACATGAAAGTCGCTAGGTTATGTAGTTAAATCAATGTTGTTATCTATGGACTGGTGGGGTATCAGTATTTTATAGTGTTTTTTACTAAGGCGTAATGGATATGGCGAATTGTATTTGTCATGACCCGATTTCGTTACAGGGTCGCGGATGTCGTCGGTGGAATGTGTGCCGCGGACCCGGGATGAAAGATACGTACTCTAGATATGACCTTACGGCGGCAGGAGGTCCAAGGCGCAATTGCAAAACGTGAGATCAATTATTTGAGATCCATGTACGTAACACAGAGCCAATAGACAACAGATTCCGGAATTTAACAATCAGGATAGACAACGTACCTGTTCATATAGGTCTTGCCGAAAGGTACATATCTGATTTTGACAGCTACATAACCTAGAAAATGACGCAATTACTGAACATGTGTATCTGGGTACATGTATGTATGAAGAAAAAAGCGGTTGAGCGCTGGTACCGAATTTGGCTGTATCTGGGTACCTAGGTCTAGGTACTATGTACATGTACAGCATCCAAGACGTGGAAGTGGGGTAGGTACCTACTAATCCTTCAACTGCCCAGCTACTTAGGTAGGTACATAGGTCATGTTAGCTTACATAAAAAACGGCCTTGTTAACCCCGCCCAACCTAAAAATGGGGTTAACAAATGGTCTCTTGAGATAAAATCCACAGCCAGCCTTGTCTTTGTTTCAACCACTGAAGCTCCGACACCTGGCTCCTCACCAATTGGTGACTGATATTAAAAAAAAATAAAAAAAATAAAAAGCCAGGGCCTAGATAAGCTACCTACCAATAACCAAATCTTCTCCTTACATATCCTATTTGCTCTGGATATATTATCGATAGGCCATCCCTTGAGCAATTGGCAAAGAATCCTCGACCTTTATCGCTCATGCTCGTGTCTGCCGGTTTTGCTTCCAAACAAATTGCACACGACCCATTGATGCGATCTCTTAGTTGTGGAACTGCCTATTTTTCGGTCCAATAAGAGAGAGAACCTCCCAGACGATTCTTTTACGGAAGATCCATAACCAAGCTACTCTTCGAATCGCATGACCTTCCCTAGCGGCCTATCGTGGGTTCCTCTTTGACCGAACTTCTCTGTCTAACAGCGACAACGCATCATCGATCCGTTAGATAGTCGGCATCAGCAAATAAAGGGACTAGTGAAAGTATACAAAGTTCATATACACAGATACTATACATCTCTAAAGTCCAGAGCCTAAGGCCTACCTTCTACCAGCTTGTAGAGTCGCAACGGCAATCCGGTTTGCTTTATGTACCTAGTTGGGAGGCGATAACCTATAAGGCAGTCGAAACTTATGCATAAGTCCTAGAACTATACGTATGCACCGCTCCGTCCCGATATTACCTGCATCCAGTCAAACGGATTGTCAAAAGATTGTCTGCCGCAAGTCTCGGCACCACTGATTAGATCTGCAACTCTGCAGCTGCTTTTCCGCAAGTTAAAATAAAGAAACATCGCTAGGTGTCCTCCGGGACAACCTAGCTCTTCAAGGTGGCTTCGAATCAGGCAATCTTGGCATCGGCTAGTGCCATCAAGAACCTTACTACATTATTACCACCTGCATTACAGAATTGCGTCCAGGCAACAGTTGACCATCTCTCCGAAGCTGTCGTCGGATCCAGAGAGTACCTTGCTTCGCAGGGAGTTTCGTATTCAACATTAGCCTACAGTTCCGCTGTGCTTGCCTTACCTTTCATGATGATGTCCCGGTTTTGGGGTCGTAGCCGCGACAACATATCGCCATACGCTTCACAGACCGACACTCAGGGCGTACCTCATGTCACCGAAGATGACTTTAGCTATATAACGTCCGAAGATCTTGAAACCACCCTACCATCTTCTTCCCGGGCCTATGACCCTCAAAGTCGACGAGCTCCACCTCCTGCTAACCTCGACGATGACGTTCTCCTAATCAAAAACAAGGGTGTTACATATCCTGTACATTTCCCTGCATATTCTATCGGCGATGGTAAACTACTTGTGAGAGATGTGCGGGTTCGCGTGGGATTAGTCATGGATCTCAGCGACCGTCGGACTCGTCGTATGAAGATGCTCTACAAAGGCCGTCAACTCACAGAGCAGGATGTCCCCATTCGCGACTACGGTGTGAAGAACAATAGCGAGTTGCTAGTTGTAGTACCTGAGGGAAAACTAAGCGATGAGGATGACGAGAGCAGCAGCGAGGAAGTTATCGTTACAGAGGATCAACAGAAGTCGAAGAAGGCCAAGAAGAACAAGGGTCGGAAGAAGAAGAAAGATCGCATCGACCCCCGCGAAAGTACTGCAAATCTCGAAGTACCCGGACAGCGAGAACGAGAGACTAGGAAGCCGTCTCCAGATCCGCCTATTCACCCATCCAGGGTACCGTCTCCCGCAGTGCCTTCAGGACCTAAAGGCAAGATAGACGCGATTAGATCCCATTTCGACGCACAACTCTTGCCAGTTTGTCAGCAGTTCTTAGATAACCCGCCTAAAGAGAAAAAGAGATTGGAAGATGAACATCGGAAGCTAAGCGAAACGATCATGCAGCATGTGTTACTGAAATTAGACGAGGTAGATACGGGAGGTGACCCGGATGTCAGAGCGATGAGGAGGGAGCTCGTGAAGTATGTCCAGGATGTCTTGACAGACATCGATGAACGTCTACCTCTTTCCAGTAGACCTAAGGATAGGTGATCTATGAGCATGCATCTCTTCCTACTTGCGGGTTCTAGAACTATCATATTTTCTGAGATTCACCTCTACCTTAGATTGCTGTCCAAGCTACTCCATCACGATAGTATTTCACTAGTTCTACCTAGCACATATCTGATTGGCAAACGACGGGTTCATAGGCCAGATAGATATCGATGCATTATCACAAGACGGGTTGACAATATTACATATATTGTACCCAAGGAATGGTTGCATAGAAGGAGAGAGAAAAATAAATCAAGCCCGAATGAATAGGAAATGGCGAGATGCCTAGGTACCTATATACATTTACATGGCCAATGATGAATGATGTACGTTACAGGGTTGAGGCGAACATTGAAGCCATCGTGAGAAGCACATCCTGCCTAAACTCTATTATGGTAAGTACATGTATAAGGTAAGCAGAATAGGTACATGCACCCAAAAAGTGGGCAATTGGAATAAGTATTAGGTTATACGAGCCCTAGGTGCATTAGGCGATAAACCCTCTCGCTTCCCGCCAGAGCCCCACCATTCCAAACTTGGATTAGCGGTCTTCTCCCACGGTGCACACTCTGCGATTGTGTGCCCGATAATTTTCATCATCCTGTGATGAACCTTTTCACATTTGCGACCCTCAACAACAACCGCGACTACTAACCAACAACAGCGAGGAATAATCCAATAGGTCTCAGACGCATTTTCCCATTGCGCTCTTGAGCTATTCAATTCCTCCTTCGTTATCTTCTTTCCACATTCCTTCTCATCACCCCGCGAACCACCGCGGTGACGATCCGGAAAGATGTCGTCCTTCGAGCCTGTTGTGAGTAGCCGACATTATTCTTTCAGCACTATTCTTTCCCGGCGAGCAAGGGGGCATATCGAGTTGAATCAGTCGGTGGCCGGCCTTCGTTGCCAATTAAAATACTACACAAATAATCATTCAATTATACGTCGAGACTAATATGAGATTCCTTTATAGGTCGTCATTGATGGCAAGGGTCACCTTCTCGGTCGACTTGCCAGTATCGTCGCGAAGCAGCTCCTCAATGGTCAGAAGATCGTCGTGGTCCGCTCCGAGGCCCTGAACATCTCGGGTGAATTCTTCCGCTCAAAGCGTACGTAACCTCCACTCTCCAATCGTTCCGATCTTTTAGGAATTTGTCAGGACCGCGATGAAATTGGACAAGAGCTTGGAAATCTTTTGATCGGTAGACGAAAAGTAGAATACAGCGGCTAACATAACAACCAGTCAAGTACCACGCCTACCTTCGCAAGATGACCCGATACAACCCTACCCGAGGTGGTATGTTCGAATTTTCCCCGCGGCGATTCTAGATAGATCGCGACTCGAATTCCGAAGAATACGAGATATCTAACATTTCCTAGGTCCCTTCCACTTCCGTGCCCCTTCAAGGATCTTCTACAAGGCCGTCCGCGGCATGATTCCCCACAAGACCGCCCGAGGCGCCGCCGCATTGGAGCGACTCAAGGTCTTCGAGGGTGTTCCTCCCCCGTATGACAAGCAGAAGAAGATGGTTGTTCCCCAGGCTCTTCGTGTTCTGCGATTGCAACCCGGCCGAAAGTTCTGCACTGTTGGTCGCCTGAGCCATGAGGTCGGCTGGAAGTACCAGGGTGTTGTTGAGAGGTACGTTAAACATGGATTTGCCCCGCCATGCCATGTTCCTTATGTGATTACACGGGAGCATAGGCTACTATTCCTTAGCACAAATTGTACTGACTTACCGATGACAGACTCGAGGAGCGCAGAAAGGCAAAGGGTGCCGCGTACTACGAGCGCAAGAAGCTGGCGCTGCGACAACAGTCCGAGGCCAAGAAGAACGCCAAGGTCGACAGCAAGACGGCTGATGCCCTCAAGTCTTACGGCTACTAATTGTTTCTTCATCCTTCTGCATTTTTTCCGGGTAACCAAAACAAATACCAGGACAACTCCGTCTCATATTGCAACTAGATCCGGCGTGTGGGTTAGGGAAACTTGATCATATTTTCTCTTGTCATACTGCGCAATTCGAGGGAAGGCAGGGGCGATCATAGGGTTGGGGATATGTTCACCGGCTCTAGTCCTATGTTCTACGAATTCGTCGTCTAGACACCGAATGAGAAAAACGAACTCAAGAAAGAGAATCATTGTGATACTGGACTGTGATGCGTTTCACGTGATTTCGCTAGGTTAGCCGCGTCATTAATTACACTAATGGTTTTAGGTAAATGAATCTCAGGGAAGTGGATTCGTTCTCTGTTCGATTTAAACGCCTCCATGTGAGTTTTCGGACCAAATACCTCGAGTTGATTTTATCGTATTGCCCATGCAACTAGCTTTAGAATGGTTATCTCATGAGGTTTTTGGTAACTTACAAAATTTTCGTTCTCCTGCTGTTCTTCATTGCATAGGTAGGTAGGAATTTAGCGTAGCCCTTGTCCTCAGCCTTTTTTTTTAGTACTGTTGATATATGCCAATTTCTCCCTCTTCTAGATCCCCTAGCAATATATGACTGTTGCAACTCTAAAGAAAAGAATTATTTGTCTAGAGTTTGCGGTTAGTGTTGACTGATGACATGGAAGGGCCAAGATTAGTTCTCTCCTGGTGAAGCTCCCTTCGGTTATATGAAGTGTTAGTTCCTAGGAGAACAATTTCTGTGCCATAAGCTACGATAATACATACAATATTTAAGCGCCTTTTAACTACCTGCCCATGTACTTCCTCGGTGTTAATTAACTGTGGTAAGAGCTAGGTAACTTGTAACCAACTCAGTCCTCTCTCTCCTTTTAAAAGTCACGAAGAAATGATTATAGGCCCTAGAGTGTCTGAGAACAACTTCTCGATCATCTTGAATCTTCCGTTCTGAATTGTGAGTTTACCAGGATGGGCTATCTTAGTTGAATCACTCGGATTCCTGTTTCATTCAACTTGTAGTGTATCTAGCAGTCCAGGCCGAGATAAGAGCTTGCTTTAAGCATCAACTGCATTCTATATGGGTAGTGATACATATAGAGGGGTTCTTTTGAGATCCTTGTAATAGTAGGTATTAAGGCACTGGTTGGATTAATGGTGTAGCCAGACTCTCAGCATCTTCACCAACGCAATATCAGATTATTATGGACATAAACTGAAGTTGGACGTTTATTATAGAATGTGATGTCTATATTATCAGCACAATAAAACTATCTTGCTTTAAATTATCTGGAGCTATGCATATAAAATGATGATAATATAAGAAGCATCATTTCTGAATAGTTCACATAAGCCATTAATGGCATTACCATTAATAAACATAATTTAAGTGATCAGAGGGAACGAGTACAAATCTATAAGTACCTATTTACTCAAACCTTATTATGTCTCCAAAGGACTCATTAAAAACCAATTTCTCTTATACTTGAAAGATTATCTTGTTTAAGGTACCAATTGTTTATTATAAATTACTCCGGCATATGTGGATGTTACATATACTTATATAGCTACGTGTTTGTGTTTATCATAACAAATGTAAAAGGTTTAAAAAAACGGTTTTACCTGTGGAATAGTTTTGTAAAACGCAACATTTTTATGTTTTAAATGGTTTAATTAGTTAAATTTAAAAAAACCCGTTTTACTTTATATAATTATTATTAAAATTTTAACGGTTAAATTTTTTTAAAAAGAAATTTAAAATTATAAAATTTAAAATTAATTAAATTTTTATATTAACTTAATGTAAAAAGATTAAATAAAAGTAATAATTAAATAAAAATTAAATGTACATTAATAAACATACGTAAAAAGAAAAAAATACACGGTATTAAAATAAAACTATCACGATTTATATATATATAAATTAATTTAAAAAGTAAACTTTTTTAAATTTAACTTTACGCACGTGATAACACGTGATTAAATTACATAATTAATTATTTTTATATTTTAACATTTAATAAAATTAATTATTTTATTTTATTTATTTAAACGTTTAAATTTTAAACTTTAATTATAAAATTTATAATTATATAAATTTTAACTTTATTTTTTATTTAAAAATAACGTAAAAATTACGTAAATAATAAAATCGATTTATTATATAAAATCATTTTATTAAAATAAAATATATTAATTTAATCATAATATATAATTTTATAAAATAATATTATATTTTACGAAATAATTATATCAACCTACTTACCTCTGTTATAATACATATCTACAATTTAAAAAGGCATTTACCTTAAGTTAAGTAGGTACCTTATGTACTGTCAGATTAGTCAGCCATGTCAGGTGACCTGAAAAACCCTAGTCTCATGTAAAATAGCGGTGTAACGCGCGTTCCCACGATTTTACCTCGATCAATCAGATCATCAGGAAGATCATCAATTAGACCTCATATATCGCCCATTCAGTACGTATTAGTTGTGTGACATGTACCTAGGTAGTCACGATGGCTTAAAGGGTACATTCCTAAAGTGGCTCTTTCTAAATATTGCTCCTTCTAGAACTCTGTCAGTAACAAGTTGTCAATGAGACGGATGTAACTGCTGCAAATTCCCAAAGCATCTTTCTCTAAAATCTTACGCCCAGATATCTCAGTTGAACCCAACCCCCAACCTTCCACGTCAACACTTGACGGGGCAACTACCTCCTACTTAGGATAACATTGCAATGCTTCACCGATCGGACTTTTCTGCCAGCTGTAAATTTCCTAGCAATACCTTCCAAATCAGTCTCAACCTACATACCTCTTCAGATTCCTAAGTATCATTTTAACTGCACCTCTTCAACTGCACCTCTTCAACTGCAATCTTTACAATCCTGCACAATAATAAATCTTTTGCGACAAATAAAACTACCTAAACAGACAGGTAATCACAGTCACCACCATAAGAGAGTAGGTTGCATTCTTAAATGATTATCCAACATGTTCCCATAACAGATGCCTATCGGATCGAAAAAGCTTCAAGTGCAAAAATATTTCCATCATTATTGCCGTCAACTATAATTGAATCTAACAATATTACTAAAACATAAGACTACTAGGACGACTAAGGGTACTCATACCGCTAACACATCATTCAACTATGGCGACGAACATTCAACATGATGCGCCATCTGTAGGTAGTCAAAACAACTACCTTGGTAACCGTTGGCTGGCACGAAAACAATGCGCTTCTATTACCAACAATCAAAGCTGTCGACTATGGATTGAGCGTCTACCGCCCGACTGCACATACCAAAACCTGCTGTTGTCAATCCGGGACATAAGCCCTATATACGCCACGCACATTGTACCCCCTATGGCCGAGATTATAGGCGTTGGAGTACATTATGTTCAAACTTCAGCGGCCTTCGTAATTTTATTCAGTCACTATAACGACAACCTCTTCCTGGCCAAACACGTGGCTAGTCAATTCATGGTGAATGAATATGAAGCTACGATACGTAGGCACCGTGTCCGAACAATCTCGTGTACTCATCATAAGAGGCCACCCATACTGCGTTGATC